TAACAAATTATAAATCTGGTCATGATTTTGAACAAATTATTGGAAAAATTGCAGAAGCTTTTGGTTTATTAGCTTATAAAATTAAAGTGATGCAAAGTGATCATGAAATTGACCTTATTATGACTTATAAGGAAAAACTTATTCTTGTTCAATATAAAAATACTGAAACACCTATATCTGTTTAAATTGTACAAGGTTTTGAATCAGTTATTTTAAGATTTTTATCAGATTCTCTTGGAATTATTGTTTATAATAGTGAAAAATTAAAAGAAAAAATAGCAACACCTAGAGCAAAACATTGAGTACAAACATCCAAAAGTTATATTAAAATTTGTAATGAAGATCAATTTGTAGGAATTATTAAGGATTTTTACAAATCAGATGATGATGATTATGTAGAATTAGTTAATTTTAAAGCAGATAGTTTTAATATATTAAGTTTATTAGAAGAAAATGTTTCTATTGATAAGATAGTTATCAAAAGAAATAATATAAATAAATTTTCTTATTATTTACCTTACTAGTATCTGTTCAGTTTAATACTGAACAGATTTTTCTTTTCGTAATCTTTAAAACAATTGATTTACATACAAAATGTCAAAATTATTTGATGAACAAACTTAAGAACTCACAAGATTGAATGGTCTTTTATTAATCTTTGATAGCTATGTAAAAGCTATTAATGGTGATAATAATCATTGCACTTCATATATGAGAATAGCATTGAAAATCCAATTGAAAGAATTGGAAGAATTCGATTTCAAACATTACAAAACCAAATTTAAAACTTTTAAAAAGAAAATCATGAGAATTATTGGTAGGTTGTAAGTTCAAAATCTACTAACAGTAAAAATTTAAATAATCATCTATATAATTCATAAACAGTATTATAGTAACAGTATTCTGTTAATTAGTTAAAATAAGATATTTGTAACTATGATTACATTAGTATGATTTGCAGGTTATAGAGTATCTGTATAACTTTGATTATACAAAGAGATGCAAACTAGTACTAAATAATGCAAATCTAAGATAAGTTCTTGTGATTATATAAATCTGCAGAATTGAGAAAAACTAAAATCTACTTAGAAATATTGAGTAAAAAAGTAGTACAGATCTTTAACAGTACTACTATAAAGGCTAAATCTAAAAAACAGATACCAATATAGAGAAATTGAGCAGACAAGAACCTCAGATAAAAGGTACCACCAACCAGGCCATCAAATTTCAGATCAAAAAAAAATAATATCAGACTGGACTCAATATATCAAGAACTGATCATAGTTCTTTTAGGCTATTTGGATTAGAAGTCTGAAAATCAAAGCAGTTATATACTAAAAGTACTAGAGATATGCTATAAAGTTAGTATTAGAGTCTAAGTGAATTCTGCAAAGGTAGCTCTTGTTAATAGTCTGTAAAGTAAACAGATAGTTATCAAGAAGAACCTTCTGTATCTTATTGGCAGATAGTATACTCTGAAATATATAATAATTTGGATATTATATTGCTCAGATAGTATACTAGTTAGGTATATACAGAAAGTTAGTTAGTATTACATCATAACAGAAGCAGATGATCAGAGAATTTAAATGAATAGTCTTCTAATAGGTTATAGGTATAGCATCTAGTTTAGAATCCTAAGGCAGATTACTTAAATAAGCAATCAAAAATTGCATATGTGACTAGTTGTACTCTCATCTTTGTATAAAATAGTTGTAATAACTAATTCCAACAAAAATTAATAGAGTGTGGTGACCTAGTAAAATGGTCAGATTATCAATCTTTTAAGTAGTAAATTGGGTGTTCAAATCTCATTGATGGCAAAAATTTGAATAATCACCTATATATTATTTATATTATAGTAACTGTTACTAATGATTGAATTAGTATATCTATAATAATAGTCATACTGTAATAGAATTTAATTTTTTTTTTCTATATTAGTATATATTTATTTTTAGCTTTATATTATATTTTATAATTTTCCTAATATTTTTACATAGT